TGTCGGAGTTTTACTGCCTCTAGTGTTCATTTTTTTGGAAACTGCAGTGATATGTACTTATTGGTACGTATTTCGCGTCTTGCAAAAATGTGCCCCCAGGTACGTATTTGCCATGAGACTGGGTTGCACACACATATACATGTACATATATATAAATACATTCAATATATATATATATATATATATATATATATTATTTCATTTCCATTTTGTATGTTGAAGTACTGAAATAACTCAAATTAAATAAAACTAAAACTTAATAAAAAACCTATATAGACATAATAAAAAACTAGTAAAATGACAACATTACTACAACTGTAACTAAAACTAAAATAGATAACTAATACAAATCAAACTACATTAGTTTATCAGTAATCCTAAAAAAATAACACTGAGCCAAACACACATGCTAAAATAACAACAACTTACTGGCACATAGTAAGAAATGGTTATAAAATACTGAAACAAGTAATAGGAAAGAGGAGAAATAAAAAGCGATACTTATATATATATGAATGATGTACTGAGTTCCAACTAGGCCAGGAAAAAAATCTATATACAGTATATTTTAAGCTATTCTCTTTATTACTTAATTTCCCCTGCTCACATTTTGTTTCTCCTAGTCAGTCCATCAGATGCAGAGCAGAGTATTAGTGGTCAATATATACTGACAAAACACAGTCAGTGCAAGTTTTACGTTGCAATAATCATGCATTTATGGATTGTTTTTTAATGTCTTGTGAACTTAAATATTTTGTTGCCTGTGGTTTATGAAATGTTGTTTTTGTGAATTCTGCTGAAGTAAACATGTCACTAAGGTAACACTATTTAGATGATTTAGACAAGGGTTTTGTAATTTTAAGGATGACTTGTGATAATCTTGGAAGCATGAGTTTCATCAGAATAAAATTAAAATGAAAAACAAATTAGTAATGTGTTGCACTATACACAATTGTTTTCCAGCAGAAGTGTTTATAAAGTTTATATATTATACATAATACACACATACATAATAATATTATTTTAGTTTTAAAACTACTTTTAATTTCAAAATAATTAGTTATTACATATTATCATAATAATATATTTGCCAAGCTACAGTATTTAATCTCTGTATTATTTTATTTCCCTTTTTCACATTTTGTTTCTCCTTGTCCATCAGGAGCAGAGCAGTTTATTAGTGGTCAATATATACTGACAAAACCCTTTTTTTAAAGGATTTTCATAGTTGGTGCTTTGATGTGAAATGGTCTTTTCTCAAAGGGGATTTTATGACCCAGTGGCTTTACATAAAAGAGCCATCTGGAAGAGTGAGTGTTTTTGTATGTCTTGTCCTAATCCCGAGTAATCTAATGAATAATCCATATTCATAACCAGTGCGGACAGAAAGCACTTTTTATTAAATCGAAGGAACATCTTTGCAAATCTGCTGGCATTGTAATGCTGAATTCAGACTATAATAAAATCATTTTTTTTATTGTTTAAGGACAGAGTTTATCACAATACCAAAATAGTGAACACATATATTATATAAGAAAAATAAATAAATAGAGAAAATATTGTATATTTCCCTTGCTCACAAACAAGTGATTTAATTAGGACTGATTTCAACACAGGATTTCTAAGATAGCAGGTGACTAAAAAAAATTACTCAAGACTTTAAACAACACACTTGTGTTTATAGTGTGGGGGCAGTCTAACCTAATGGTTAGAGAGTCGGTTTGGCTCTCTTCCACCTTCAACACCATGACTGAGGTGAGACTCTCTGAACCCCAAATGCTCTGCACAGCAAAAAATGGCTGCTCACTGCTCCGAGTGTGTGTTCACGGTGTGTGTGTGT